TGACTTTCTAATCTGACTTGTTCTGGTTTCAATGAAAGGTGTCTTGGATTATGACTTTCTAATCTGACTTGTTCTGGTTTCAATGAAAGGTGTCTTGGATTATGACTTCCTAATCTGACTTGTTTTGGTTTCAATGAAAGGTGTCTTGGATTATGGGTTCCTAATTTCACACACATCTAGTTTATAATCTATAATGAACTAACTAAGAGTAATGTGAAAACATCTTCAATCTACCGTGACATTTATTATAATTATCAGACCTAACTATTATCTTTGTCGTCAAATAATAGTGAGGTATGTCTGGATAAGATAACTAATGAAGGTCTTAGCAGAAAGATCAAAACGTTGGCCACTCCAGGTAGATGCACGACATAAAACTTGAGATCCAGAATTTAGCATTATAGGTTTTAGACAAAGAGCTCTGATCACACTAGTGGCTACAAACTGTTACAATACAAGTAGTAAACGTACATAACCTTTATATAACCTTTATAACTATGACCTTGTATAACCTTTAACTATGAATTACTGCAGATTAATTCACGTATAAGTTGATTTGGCAAGGCAAATGTACAAATTAATCGGACTACTGAACGACTAAAACCTGTTAACGCAACACAAGAAAATATACTACTATTGCTAGTCAGTATAGCTGACAGCTGAAAACCCCAACTTGAAAAGAAACAACAAACTTACATATCGTTCAGCTTATTTATCAATGGTTTCCAAGTTAACTTGATATTACACACATATAGTGGCAGAAATATGTGACGTTATGAAACCTTATACTTCTCAGTTTACTGAACGACGAGGCCAAGTTAATTTTACACCACAATTATACGTATAATATTCAGATCAGTTAACGGCAGAGAGTTAACTTAATTTTACACCACAAAAATGTATAATACTCTTATATCAGTTAACGGCGGAGAGTTAACCTAATGTTATGCTACAAAAACATTAATATTTGGATCAGTTAACGAAGGAGAGTTAAACATATATATATAAAATACTCAGATCAGTTAAAGACAGGAACCCAAGTTAAAAGTTACACGATAAACATAGATAACGTTCATATTAGTTACCGGCAGAAAATCAACTTAACGTTACGCCGCAATACGATATATAACCTGCAACTACAACGTAAAGCTAATCTAACATGAAGTAATTGTTATTTTTTTTACTCACCCTGTAGAATGAACGTAGAAACCTCTATTTATTCTTATGATATAATGTTCGATTCTTCGTTCGTTCGATGATATGGATATTAATGTACACGTTTTAGAAATCTCCTTACAACTTTTGTAACAGCCTCCTTTGAAGAAACCAAACAATCGATATTTTTAGTGCAACTGAACGAATTCAGAGCTGGGGTTTCTAAGCTTGTGGACTACTTGCTTCTGACACCGCGTTATACTGCTTACAGTATGTTTGATTTGGAATGAGCTTACCTAAAGCATGATGATAATTACAAGTGACAAACAATCGCTGTGTGTAGCAGGTCTTCGCTTTTTGAGTAGCCCAACTTTAAGTTAAGCGAGGTTGTCACTACTCATTCAGAGTATTCTCCTTTTCTCAAGTCCATACAGTTCCCCGAAATCTTCTCGGTTTTCCATATATGAACCTTACCAAGAGTTTTAGTCTAAACACTAAAAAAAAAAAATCTTACAAAGCTTGCAAAACAGTCTTGCTAAGTATACTGCTTCACGCGCAACTTCAGAGACAGCGTACAGCAAAAGTACAAGCTCTATCTGATGTACTGTTTTCGCTTCAACCAACCCTGATCGACCAGCCGCCAGGAGAAACCGGAAACGGACAGTTCCTATTATACAAGTGGGGAGAGAAGTTGTAGAACAAATAGCCATTTGCACAGCCAATGTAGAGGTTTGTCGTAAGATGCAAAATTATAAAAATAATCAAACACTTTAAAAATATATATAGTTATGCTAAAATATTTATTAAAAGTTGATAAGTAATAATTATTTGTCAAATAATTAATTTATGGTATTGCCTTCGGTAGCATACACAAAATACAAATTTATCATTAAAAATTATAATATAAATTTATGTTAATAACAATAATATTATGATATAGCAAGAAGAGTATGTATTACGACAATATTTACAAGAAAATTTGATTTGAATTAGAATCATTGAACTCGTGAAGCAATGTTATTGTTTTTTGTTTTTTTTTGCTTTGATTTTTGTAGAATGTTAAATGAAATTGCTTTTTTTCTGTTTCACGGATTTACAGACACGTTCCTCAATCTAAAACTCTGGGGTACAAACTGTATATAGAAAAAAGCAGTTTATATATCACTTAAGCACGTTAAGTTCATTTGGAATATTTTAAACATATTCTCATATGAGCGGATGTAAGTTTATCTTGAACATCTCTCTCTCTTCTTGCCCCCCCCCAGTGGCACAGCGGTATGTCTGCGGACTTACCAAGCTAGAATCCGGGTTTCGATACCCGTGGTGGGCAGAGCACAGATGACCCATTGTGTAGCTTTGTGTTTAATTACAAACAAACAATCTCTCTTCTTTACGTGTAGGCCTGGTATGACCTGATGATTAGGGCACTCGACTCATAATCATCGAACATGCTCGCCCTTTCATCCTTGGCGGGCGTTATAATGTGACGGTCAATCCCATTATTCGTCAGTAAAAGAGTAACCTAAGATTTATCTAGTTGCATTCATCCTAGTCTATCGCTGCTAAATTAGGGACGACTAGCGCAGATAACCCTTGACTAGCTTCGAGCGAAATTAAAAACAAGCTGAACTCCTTTATGTGCAAGTTTCATCAGTGAAATTTATCGATCTTGATCGGAGAAATTTGTTCGATTTCTTTTCCACTGTTTTTATTTACCTCACTCTTCCGACTATATAGATTCTCTTGTCTTTATAATATTTCGTTAGCGATTCTTATTAAGAAACTGTGCGTTTTGCTGAATGAGCAACGTAAAAGTGCAGTGGAGTTTTTCCAAGTACGTTTTTCTTTATAACCAGCTAATTAAGAGACTCTTTAGTTATTTCTCTGTTACCTGACATATGTTTAGTATGGATATTTATATGAATATGTATGGTTTAATGCATGTTTCATCAGCAGAAAATAAATAAAGGAATAAAAATTCTACATCCAGGTGAAGAAGATATATTGGAGTTAAAATATAGTTTCATTTAACTCCAACACAGTCTAGAAGTAAAACTTTTCGTAAATAAAATATCCAACCTACTTCAGTGTGCAGCTTTATTATACTTATGATAATATTGTCGTCTCGTGTATAAAAAAAGTGTCAAAGATAAGTTCGACTATGAACTGAAAAAGCATGTTGACTCTAAACATTGTAAATTCAATAATATTACAGGAAATCCTGTTCGTTTTTATCTTCAAATTAACATTGGTGTCTTTGTCTGTAGCACCTGATCTATAAAACAAAATACAAGGTTAACCACTAGCTTGTTTAACAAATAAAATAGTTTCTGGCAAATTCTCCAAATCTGTTTACCATCTAATGCACGTAAATTTTTGTTTAGAACAGTTGGCATTGTTTTTTTTACTTGCGTAAGAGCTCAAACTTGAATACTAGTTATCAGATCTGAGAAGCAAAGTGTAAGTTTATTATTGAATTATTTACTTTTTCTATTCGTGAAAGTAAGATTCATTTAACTAATAACTTTCTTTAGATACCCAAATGATTTATTTAATGGCTGAATAGAATGTGTCGAACAGTAATTCTATATGGATTAGTTGAATAACGCTATACGTAAACGAAAGGAATAAATCCGAATATAATGTTTTTAGCCAACGTAGTAACCTATAATAACGATTTATTAATAAAAATCGTTAGTATTATATTTAGACTTACACTATCGTTTTGCTTGAAAATGTAAATGGATGGAGTCCATGTGAAACCATGTGTTGCGTTTATTTTCCAAGACAGTTAGTATTATATTTAGACTTACACTATCGTTTTGTTTGAAAATCTAAATGGATGGAGTCCATGTGAAACCATGTGTTGCGTTTATTTTCCAAGACAGTTAGTATTATATTTAGACTTACACTATCGTTTTGTTTGAAAATCTAAATGGATGGAGTCCATGTGAAACCATGTGTTGCGTTTATTTTCCAAGACAGTTCTGTGTAAGATCTTATTGTTGCATTTAGACATATTTGATGGAATTTTGCGAAATCGTGTGTTGCATTTACACATATTTGATGGATTTGTGGAAAATCTTGTGTTGCATTTAGACTTACTTGATGAGGTTGTGCCAAATCTTGTGTTGCATTTATACATAATTGATAGGTTTGTGCAAAACCTTGTGTTGCAAGTAGACATACTTGATAGAGCTTTACCAAATCTCTAGTTCCATTTAGACATGATTAATGAGTTTATGCAAAATCTTGTATTGCGCTTAGAATTACTTGATGAGGTTGTGCTAAATCATGTGTTGCATTTGGACATACTTGATAGATTTGTCCGAAATCTTGTGTTTCATTTACACATATTTGATGGGTTTGTGCGAAATCTTGTGTTTCATTTAGACATATTTAATGGGTTTGTGCGAAATTGTGTGTTGCATTTAGACATACTTGATGAGGCTGTGCCAGATATTGTGTTGCATTTATATACACCTGATGGGGTCTGTGTAAAATTTCAAATTTCATGGGGTTTGTTTGAAATATTTTATTGCATTTAATTTTAAACACTCTGGTCCTTGTAAAGATATGTATTGATTTATGATTACTTATGGAGCTAAATAAAATGTTATGTTTCTCAAATACATTTGTATGAAAGGTCAGTGTGAAATTACGTTTCTTTTAGACGTAAATGATGGAGTCCATGTGAAACCTTGTTTTAGATTTATATTTACATGATCTGTGTGTAAGCACTGCAGCTCCACAGTTGCGACAGTAGTCAAGCGTTGTGCGTGTAATTCATGTTACGTAAATATTGACTCAAAACAAAGTACTCATTCCAGTCATCCTAGCTGTTAGAGCACGTACCTTTCAATCGTTAAGCGAAATCTTGTGGATAGCACTTCATTTCATGGCAGAAACAAATATCTGCTCATAAAAAAAAGCAGTTTATCAATGAACTTATAATTTATTCTATACAGCCAGTCCTGTTACAGTTTTAATGATATTCTGCTGTTATCGGTGTTTGGAATTATCAATCGCATTTAGCTACATATACAAAGGAAACGAGCTTAGTAATGTGATTTAAACACCGGCTCCGATTGGTCAGACAAGTATGAAGGAATGATAAATGATATTCATATATATAGCGTACTTAACTTTAACTCAAGAGATGGCACGCTAAGTGACAATGTTTACGTGCTTTAACAATCATAAATTTTCAAATATAAATACCTGTTATTTTTGTTTTTCAGAAGACTCTCATAAATTACATTGTTAGATAGTCAATCACTGTATTAGTATTATAATGGCGATTTCCGTGTCTTTTTTTTTAAATCTCAGTGTTGTTATTGATAAAAACGGTTTGATGAGACTAACTCTTATTAACTAGTAATGCATTTAAGTGTTGCCACACGTAACGTTTAAAATACGTTACGAGTTAATAAGATTCAATATTTAATGATTTTTATTGTAATTCCAACCTGCAACTTACTTAAAAATTTTATTTTATTGTGATTTTATTTTTGAGATCTTTTCATTAAAGTCAACTAGATAATCAACTAACTCATAACTCAGATTCAAATGTTCTAATAATTTTATGTCCATCTTTACATTCTTACATTTTTCAAATACATTATCTACCAGTTATGTAATGGTAAATTTTCAACTTATTTTCTCATACTATTATTTCAAAGTGGAAAAAAAAAGTTTACTAAACAATACATAAGCAAAACTGGACTTTTATGACTGGTGTAAAAACAAGAAGTAAAAATCTGTATTTCCTTTTTTATCAAGTGACACCTGTTGAATAACCTAGATACATTAAAATTATAATTTTAGAATAAATATTCCAGTTCTCTCTGGAGCGTTAAAAACGTTGAAATAGTACTATAATTATATTAGATATTATTAAATATTAGAGTCTGATATTATACGATAGACAGAAATAAAGAGAAAAATACAACCTTGGCTAGACTTGCATATTACAAACCTATAAACTTTGTAGAATTAGAATATTAACTACTCAAACCATCAGAAAATAATACTTTGTCTAAATACATTAACGAAAAATATTATATATATATATTGAACAACAATCATTCTTGCGCAAATATAAACAGACAGTCTTGCTTTTTGTTACTGAAATAATAATAGCAAACTATTTTAAATACACACGAGCGCATCAAGTGATTGTTTTTCTTTCTCCTTTGAATAGCATAACCTTGTTTAGAACATAGCTGTTTAGCTGACCTATATTCAACTTTGTGTGCAGCAACCACATTTTCAAGGTTTACACAGATTGTTACAGACAAGTCTCTGTCCCGCACGAGGCAACAAAAATTACTTAATGTAGACACAACATGCGACATAAGTAAATATCTATTTCATTACACATATGCACACTATTGTGTGTGTGTGTGTGTGTGTGCATGCATACGATTAGCTACGTATGAAAATCATCAAGTGAATTAATACAGACGATGCAGGTTGATTGCTAAGTACAAACTGAAAAGTAAACATTTTGGTTCGTTTGTTTTTTGCTTAGCACAAATCTACACATTGGACTATCTGTGTTGCGCCCACTGTAGGTATCGAAACCTG